CATCTGAAAACTCAGTGAATTTTGTAATTGGGTGTTCTCCTTCCCAGAATTATCACTTAACATTGAAATATTTCCCAAATGCATTGAGATCAGCTTTTGTTGTGATTTCGGTCTGTGTATCTGATGTTTGAACAGTTTTGCTAAATGCTAATGAAATACAATTAAACATTTTGGAACAGAGAGATTGTGACGTTTAATATTTGATGGGTGCCAAAATCATGAACTTGTTCTAATGCTCATAATTGCATTGGGGGCACCATACGGCTTCACATTTTATATTTAAAGCGTGTTTTTTTAAAATTGTTGAATTATGAGCCAAGAATGCGAAAATATGGCCTGTTCTGCCATAAAGCAGTGAGATAAATAAGGGACATGGAATCAAGTACAATAAATGATGATTTGATCCAAGATATATTTTTCAACAGGCCTGCAGGCAAATGTACAATATCTTCCTTTCTGTGCCGTCACCACACAAATGCTGCTCTTCTGGGCCGGCTTCTCAACCAATGCGCAGCATCTGTGTGGTGATGGTATCACAAACTTGTGTTGTCATTTACTCCTCTGGACCTGATAAGGATTCTCCAGGATATTGTACAGTCACTAATGATCTTGATACAGCTTCCTACATTAAATCAATTCAGAATCTGGCTGAATTGTGATTTGGACAAAGATGTTCTATGCTTGAAGCCATTATGTTTTTAAAAACCATGGCTTAGCATTTGGGGTGAATCTGGTCCCCACAGACAGCTCACTAAATCGTGGCCACTGACAGTCGTGGGCTAAATGTTCCCTCACCCACCTTATAGTGTAGTCCAGTGATGGCGAACCTTTTAGAGACCGAGTGCCCAAACTGCAACCCAAAACCCACTTATGCATCGTCGGGTGCCGGGTGGGTGTGGCCAATTGAGTAGGTGTGGCCCATTGGGTGGGCGTGGCTGCAGTGGTAACAGCAGACTGGGTGGGACTAAAAGTTCAATCAATCCCAACTTCGCAAGATCTTTTTTTTTTCCCGGGAGAAGTTGAAATTGACTGATTGATTGAACCTTTTTTTTTTTTGCACACGGTGGCGGAGGCCTAAAGCGAAAAGGTTTTATAAAACGCAGCTGAAGGCCTAGGACTGGGGCGACAACGCGTGTGCCCACAGAGAGGGCTCTGAGTGCCACCTCTGGCACCCGTGCCATAGGTTCGCCACCACTGGTGCAGTCTCTGTTTACTCTTTGAGGCCATGGACTGAAGCTCAGCAGGCTGGCCGGGGAATTCTGGGAGCTGAAATCCATGCATCTTAAAGTTACCAAGTTTGAAAAATATTCAGCTGGATGGTCTCAAGGGCCCCCTCCAATTCTAGAATTCCCTTGTGAAATTTGGTAACTGGTATTATGACAGCAATGGTGTTGAATGAAATATTGGATGTTGCACTCCAGCAAAAATAGGCCTAATTTCTATTACATTTGTATGTAATTAAAATGAATTACAATTGGTATGATTATTTTCTGATTCAACAATTTCATCCTCAAATTGGAATAATATTAAACTTGGTAAAAAAAAAACTTTTGGAAGGTTCAGAGAGTTGCAGACTTGAGGAAGATCTGACGCCAGGTCAGGTCCCCTTGTTCTGGAAACACATTTGCTTCATTTGTATTGTGTATAACATCCTACCAGATCCACACATTCCATCAGTCTGGGGACAGAAAGGATCAAAGATTATCCAGATCAGATAGATACAGTTGGCTTATCTAACTACATTCACAAAGAACTAAGTGAATTGTTTGAAATCAAGAGGGAGGCTGCAACTGGATGGTTGAAGTCCTCCTGGTTTTTTCCTCACGTATAAGAGAAGCCGTGGTGGTCCCCATATTGGTTTTTTTATCCTCTCCCTCTGGGGACACCCATGCTAGGCAGGGAGCTTCAGTAGCAGCTACTTGCTCAAGACTTAAACTGTGATTTAACGTCACACTTTCAAGTTTGTAGTAGCAAACGGAGGTTTGACTAGCAGTTCCAGCCCTTGCCTAGGAGAACATACGTGTTTACAAGCACACCCTCTTTGTATCGCATGCTGTATTGTTTTAGAATATGCCTTTTAAAAGGCAATATTCAAAGAGGTCTATTGGGAAGCAAAAGGATGGTTTTATGCTGTCAACGTTAGTTAGATTAATTGTGTCACTAAAAATAACTCAGACTAATACGCCAGCCTTGTATTAGCTTGTTCTACGGTGCGACTGAGTCATCGGCAGCTGCAGCAAGTGCTTCAACAACTGCTGTTTACATTACTTTCCTGGCATGGGGTTAGCATGTTAATCTCTTCCAAAGAGCCAATAAAAAGCCTGTCTAAACCTGGAAATTATGAAACAATAAGAAAAGGCCACTGCCGAGTAACGCTAACACTGCAAAAAGGGCCTTTTCCTCTGAGTTACCGGCCGCTCAGCCATGCTGACACACAACGGGTGACTTGCGACTGAATGTCAAATTGGGGTTCATACGCTAGGGGAGAAAAATAACAGGGATTTCTCTGCAAGAAATTTGTAGCGAACTGTGTGGGACAGTGTTTCTCCACTTCGGCAACTTGAGGATGGGTGTACTTCCACTCCCAGAATAGCTGGCTGGGAAATTCTGGGAGTTGAAAAACACCCATCCTCAAGTTGCCGAGGTTGAGAAACCCTGGCCTAGGAGAACGGATGAGGAGGGTTTTTTTGTTTTCATGCATCCTCAGCATTGCACCACAATTCGAGGATATTGTAATGGCATTGTGCTGCTCTGCATCCTTAGTACCATTGTGATTGCTGGCAGAGACTGGAAAAAAAAGGAATAGATATAATCACAAGACATGTGATGTCAGAAAGACCCCAGAGAACCAGTTGAATGAATGGAGTAGCTCTCCATCAAACAATCCAGACTGATTTTGCATTTAGTGAGAAGAGTTTAAGCAAATAGTCAGTGGTGTATCTTGCACCAGACCCTATTTTCAAAACGAAGGGTTGGAAATATATCTATATCTTTGTTAGGGCACCTGAATTGGTCAAAAATATCAAACCTGTGGCCTCCATGACACAAGTGAAGCTCGGACCCTTTTTTTACATGAAATGTATCCCATATCAAAAAGGGGGCAGGACATCAATTGTGCAGTTGCATTGCCATTTTGATGTTTTTGACCCCTTATATCATTTTCATAATATAGCGTGTAATGGGGTCGTTCCTCATCTCTAGAAGTCACCAAATTTGGCGATTCATGACCCACAAAGGGGAGCTCTGTCCTCTCACCAATTGAAGTGTCACCAATTGCCGGATAAAGCCTAGATTTGTTTCCAGTTTTAAGCGACTGTTATACAACGATCTTCCTCCACATACATCTACATAATCTAGGAAGATCCTCAGTGCTTCGCAGAAGATTGGAAGAGAAATTTGAGTGCATGTAACAGTTTTATACAAAGTCCCATTCAACTGAGATGGATCACACAGACCTAGAAACATGACACAAACAGTGAGAGGATCTTCAGGAAAGGAAGAACCCAAAAACACATCCCATCCAAATACACATCCCAATAAAGCAATAAATGTGTATATGCTTAACGTATCCCCAGGAGCGTCAAGATGACGCATCACCACAGCTGCCATCTTGACTGTCATCTTGACTTTTTTGCACCCCTCCCCCCTTTGCGGATATCCCTGCTTGTCTTTGTCTAGCATCAGCAAGGGGGCCTGTGACAATGCGCCACGGCCAACGCGCCACGGCCAACTCACGGTGGGACAACCAGCCATGACCACCTCACCGTGGGACAAGAGTTACACAAATATCAAAGAAATGGTGGAATAGAACCATCGAAGGAAGTATGCAAAAGGAGGGACAAAATGAAATGAGAATGACAGAAATTAGAACAGTTTCTCACTTATTTTAAATAATTAAACTGAATGGTTAAATTGTCCCACGGCAAGCTGTCCCTCGGTGAGTCGGCTGCAGCGAGTTGTCCCGTTCCGGGGTGCAGCTGCTCTCCTGCCCCAGCTTTGTGCTGCAGAACAAGGGGGGATCCCAGCTGGCTGCCTTTTTTTAGTCATCATTCCACCCCCCCCGAAGTGGCTCCTCCTCCCTCCCGAAGGGCCCTCCGGCCCGAGGACAACGGTCCCCTGGTCAGTGGCCAGCAGGGCCAGGCGGTCAGTAGCCCTGGGGAAAAGTCCGGGAGAACCAGGTGCCCAGAATGAAAATGGAAGAAGTCAGAGCTCCAGTGATTTTACATTTAGTTCAAAGTAAAGACATGGCTACCCGTTAGTGCTTAGAAAGTTTTGATAATATTAAAAACATAAATAAGAGAATCTTTTTTTTTCCTGCTGAAACGTCCATTCAAAAGTTTCCAGTGTTACCGGGAGCTGTCAGAATTTCCTCTTTTATTTTATCTATGAATCCATCATTGAAGTTCCTCCCAACCCCGTGTTTCATTTGTCTGAGCTGCTGCCCTTTGTCCCTACTTCATTCCCTCTCTTTCTCAGAAATAAGTGTTGGGGCAACACCGAGGGAATCTTAGCTTTAGACTTAGCATCTCTATCCCTCTTTCTTTCTTTCTTTCGTCCTTTTTTTAAATAGGAAAAAAATGGTCTCCATTGCACGTCTTGGTGCTTGTTCTGAATTTGAAAATCTCCTCCTGGAATCTGTGTCTATCGTATTGTACGCATAACTTAATCTAGGAGTAAAACTCTACAACACCTCAGACTCCGGTGGGCAAGGGGGGGGGAATCAAAAGGAAAAGCTGTTCACCTGGAATAACATCATCCTAACCCATCGTCCCATCCCAGGGTCCCTTGGACTAAGGGAATCAAAGCAACTCTAGCCGACAGATTACGCACTGCTCCTCCGACTGTGTTAGCAAGGAACGAGTAAGAGATTGGTTCTAACCCCTTCCCACCAAAAAAAGGAAAAGAAACAAAAGAAAAATGTGCAAAATGATGCTGTAGTTATTTTGTTCCACACTACCAAGTGGCGGTTGTGTCCATGTTCAGGTTGCTCCGTCTTAAGGTCACTTGCAAGTGAACACTTCTGTCCGTTCACTGCAGGTGTTGCATTTCACAAAGCAACACCAGTGGAACTTGCAGTTGCACTGCCACACCTTGGTGTACTGGTGGGTGTTGTAGCCCCTTCCGCAGCACATCATGCCGCAGCCGTCCGCCCCGAGGGAGGTGCGGTTGCAGAGCCGCCCCTGGGTCCCCACGCTCCCCGTGGAAGCATCCTCTTCACAGTAATTGGGTGACTTGTCGATGTAGACCAAGTCGGTCTCCATCGGCTTCTGGTAGCTTCTGATCTGCTTGATCTTCAGGAAGGTCGGTTGCCGAAGTCGGCTGGCCCGGACCACTTCCACTTGCACGGCAGCGTTGTATTTCTCTTTCAAAATATATCCGATCTCTCGGAACTTGGGTAGTGTAGTCCAACAGGTCTTGGTGGTGCAGGAACCAGAAACGCCGTGGCATTTGCACTCCAGTTTCATCCGTCCTTCCAGCACCTGCGCAGGCAAAGAGGGAGAACAAAATGACAACAACAGGCCACAGCTTTCCTTCTGCTTGGCTGATCTTAAATGCTGGACCTTCAGGGTTCATTAAAAGTTACAAAACATCTGTAGATATGAGTGGCACGACCTGTCAAGAAGCAGCCTATTTTAAATCCCACTGGTTTCCTTTGGAGCACAGGGTTGCATCATTTTCTCATTAAAATCCATGGAAATTAAACAAGATTCCTCCTTTTTGGCTGGAAGGAATACAGCATAGTATTTCATTCGCTTCTTATGGGTCCTGAGCCCACCAATACAACTCATTTCTTGAAAGGAAAAGGAAAAGGAAAAAGAAAAAGAAAGGAAGGGAGGGAAGGGAAGGGATACGAATGGAAAGGAAAGGGGAAGGAGAGGATAATTGGGAGAAATTCTGCCCCAATGAAGACATTCATAATCTCAAGAAGGAGAATCAGTTTACTATGTTCAGAATGTCAGTCCAAGCATTTTACTTCCAACATCAGCTAATTCACGATGCCCACATTGATCTAAGTTTATGTGTCACTGTAAGATTATTTATTGCATTTTCTTGTTATGTTAATTTTTCTTCCCGTACAATTTTCAACAGTTGGGAACACTATGGAGCCCATGAAAGACACAGTTCTGTTTCCCAGGATTTTGCAGTAGCAAACCGGGCTGCCGAGGGGAGCAACCGGATCAATTTCTTGACTTGCACTGATGAATGTGCAGCAGGAGATCTCCACAGCAAAGCGAGAGCTGGATTCATTGTGAAGCCATTTAGGCGAGAATAAACCTGGCAGGGGGATCAACTGCGTTTCCCTCTTCCTCTGTGCAGAGCCCATCCATGGGATCCCCCTCTTGAGGAATGCCCCCAGACACAGTCAGTTGCTACGGGCAACAATAGCAAGACACCAGTTTGGGCTACATAAAACAATCCACAACCGTCCCTGTAATGTGTAACCACTAATTGAATAATATTGTTTCCACACTACTTACTTAAGTAGATTAAGTAAGTGCTCATTTTGGGAGAGGTTTAATTGGCTAAGTTGAAATGCATGGCCTGCCTTCTCCCCTTCCCTTCCGTTCTCTTCCCTTTCACCTTTCACCTTTCCCTTCCTCCCTCCCTCCCTCCCTCCCTCCCTCCCCCCTTTCCTTCCTTCCTTCCTTCCTTCCTTCCTTCCTTCCTTCCTTCCTTCCTTCCTTCCTTCCTTCCTTCCTTCCTTCCTTCCTTCCTTCCTTCCTTCACCTTTCTGGCAGAATATTTGAATAAGTGAGACTTCTGGATTGGGAGAAGAGGCCAAGAAGCCCCAAGCACAGCTTTCAGCACCTGACATCAAATCTTCTCTGACGATGGATTAGCTGCCCGTATCTGTCCCCATAGAAGAAATTGGTAGATCTCTAGGATATAAATGGCTTCCCAGCACTGAAGGGAGATCATACTAATCAAACTACGTTCTGAATCTGACAAGGGGAGCAAATCCGATTATCTGAGGCTGCCCCTGTTTTTTTTCTCCAAGGGGACTCTAGACCAGGGACATCTTCGTCCAGATGGAGGAGAGGGGAAGAGCTTTCACTGCCACCTCCGTCTGGCCTTATTTTCAATCCACCTAGGGGTGGTCTGGCTATTTTATGACCGGGGGGGATTTCCCCTTTTGGTTTCTCAACAAATTCTCTACTTCTGCTAACCTGATAGTCCCTCTCTTGTCTCAAGAAATTTAGGTTCATCACCCAGCACCTGAATCCATTATTAGCCCAGGTCAACACAGCCTCAGTTTATGCTGCAGTGGCGCCAGGTATGTGTGACTGCGTGTCTGTGCATTGCAAGAGAGATGATGGGCAGAGTGAGCAGAGATGACAAGAGACTGTGCCATCTCCCAGGCCTTGTTCAGGGCAAAAAGAGAGAAAGAAACCAGGAACAAGAAAAGCAGATGAAGGGTTGCGACCAATTTGCCCCAAATGTCACAGAGTTGGGAGGATTTAATATTCCTAATTTGGACTGGGAGAAAGTCTGGAAAGGACCGCTTAAACAGGAAGATCGTCTGGGGCAGCCCAAAATGTTTGGCTGGGAACCCTAACTGGATTCTCCCTCTGCCGGGTTTCTAGCCGGGCGTCTTCACCACGAGTCAGAAGCCAGCTGGGAAAGTTGTACATGGCGACCACAAGACCTCAGACGCTGCAACTGTCATCAATCTACGGTAGCTGCCAGGCATGCGAACTGTAATCATGTAATCCCAGTGACGATGCAACGGTTGAAAGTGCGCGGACCGGCGGTCTCTTTTCTCAGCACCGTTGTACTTAGAAGAGTCACCAAACAAGGATTCCTTGTAAAGGGTCAGTTGCACGGATGCCCTGTTTTGCCCTGCTGACTCGGTCTGGGCAGCCCCAGGAATTTGCTCTGTTTCAAAGGAGAGTCAAAGAATATCACTGGAAACCTCCTTTAATTTTACTTGGAACTGTGCCTTAAGCTAATAATGTTTAGAAGCTATCCCTCACAGTCTTAAGGAATAAATTGCATTTCTCATATTAATTAATATGTATTTAATTAAATCTGCCAGTTTATTTATCGGCTAGGATGCTCACTCAGATGACATTGTCATTTGGGTTAGTCTATAGTGGCCAAAATCAGAAATTTGATTTAAGAAGTTCTACCTTTTAATATAATTTGTTGGCCAGAAAAAGATGGTTCCAGATTCCTGATTTTTAACTCAACTGAGTCAGTGCCTTCCTTGGGAAGCAGACATAGTGATAGGATTACACCTCCCACTTGATCTAAAGAGATTTAAAGGCTAAGCTTCCTCTTTTCTAGGACTCTGAGGTCTTCAAGTTGTATCCGGCATTGTTGCTTTTCAAGACACTGAAAACTTTAATACGCAATTCAGTATGCCAAGCACTGCTGTGTTGTTCAAAGAAAAGGACCTTATAAATATTTTCTTATTCACTTTGTGTTAGGTAATCTTCTCTTATGGAGAATTAAAGTGCTGTCAGACCATACAGTAGCTGGGAATGCCTTCAGTTATAGATTGCCAACAATGAATAAATGTTTATATTGTACAGACCGTGAAGATCTTTGCAATTTGACTCATTTCGGACAGATTTTTTAAAAATGTCTTTGAAGATCAATAAGCATGAAAATTAGCTTTTCTGGGCTTCAGATCTTCACTGGGAGCCAATCCTGAATCCTGGCTGTCTTTGACTTCCAAAAACTTTCCCCTTCTAGTGGGGTTTTTAAGAAAAAAAAGACTGTGCAGCTCCCCTTGTGAAAGTTAGTGTTGAAACATAAAATCCCTCCTTCCATCCCTCACATCTTGTGAAACATTTACAATCAGTTCCCCTTTCATTTAGGAGAGACCATGTTTATCAAGAAAGGGAATCAAGGCAGGACGCTTCCAGCCTGTTGCTTCACTATGAAATTAGGCATCAGGCATCGTATGGTTTTTAGACACTCTAGGAATACAACCCCGATCAAATGTATAAAACCAGTAGTAGCATTTTGCACGTGTTAGTTTTGGCGGACACCCCCTACTTTTGTGTTTTTCTTGGTGGAGATATTCATTTTCAAACCAGATGGTGGCTGAAACAAAACCTAAGCTACTTTTAACTGCCAGAACCGAAGGTAACAGAGAGAAAACGTTCAAAATTGTTGGGTTGAACCAGAAGCTCCTGAGTCCAACCATTCCTTTCTGGGTCAAGCTCTGAAGCAAAACCACCGACGTGGGCTTGAACTGAGCAATATCAGGCTTTTCAGGCAAGCAGCATTCATGGATGACATTCCTATAAGCTTGAGCCAAAGGGGTTCTTCTCAAAGTGTTAAAACAGCCGCATCCTTTTCAAGGCCTATGCAGCTTCTTTGAAAGCCATTCCCCGGCTGTTGGAAAGTGTCTACAGCACCACCATCACCACCACCACCAGTTTGTTTCCTTAGTGGTCACTGTGGAAGCGTCGTCTGTATCCTCACACACTGTGCGTGCACACCTATCCTTCCCTATGAAGGTCTACCTTGCCATGGAGATCTTCTCCTTTTCCTCACTACGAAAGCTTTGTCGCATTTTGTTCACGCAGAACATCATTCAGCCCATGACCATCCATGTACAGGCTGCAATCTTACAGTCCAGATGCATGTCCCCAATTTAGCCATCCCGGGACCCGCAGAGGTCTCCCCTCCCCCACAGCATACGGCCCTGTCCTGTATAATATACCTTTCTGCCAGCTTCATTGTTGTGCAGGTTCATCAGTCTCCGAGCACTCTTTCGGATTTCTCTGGCGTCGACAAACCTCCTGGAGAAGTCAATGCCATATCGGATGTCAGCAGAGCAGCCTCCCCACTTCCACCCTTCCTCCTGGTTGTAGTAACCTTGTTTCTCTCGGTCGCAACCACAGCTGCTGAGGTTTCCCTGGCTGCAGGCTGCCGTGATTGCGTGGGCAACACCAGCGGCAGTGATGGCGTAGGTGAAGGCGGCTTCTCTGCTCCCTGTGGAGACACAGCAGGGAATAGGGGAAAAAGGGGGGGGAGAATCAGCTGAAAGATCGTGAGAAACTCAGTCCTTGGAAACCTTGAAAAAAACAGCACCTTTTGGCAAGGTGGCCAGAGCCTTCGTCCTTCTGCTGGTGTTCCTCCACCTCGGCCTCTTTGAGGTGTGTGGACTTCAACTCTGGGAGGCGGAGAGACGTCTGGAAGTTGAACTTCATACAACTTAAAGTGACCAAAGTTGAGACACCATTCTTTGCCATTCTATGCCACTAGTTAGGGTAGCCACTTACCTGGAATTGGCCCAACTTACAGGCTGGTGATGGTGGCGAGGGAGCTTCTGTAATTTGGGGAAGAAATTTGAGTCCAACCCCTTTTTTGACGCAGTTCCATATGAAACTCCCCAATGGGCAGATCAGATCAGTTGGACGCAATTTGGAGGTCAGTTCAGAACAGGCCCCTGAGAAGGAGTGGCCTGTGCCGCTTTGAAGACCATCGGTTCAAAGCTTACCTTGCCCAGCGTGGCTTGGGGGTTTGGGGAAGCTGTTCAGTGAGAAGACCCAATCAGTCCCATTTCCGTCAGCTCTCTGAACCGCCTCTGCTCGCACAGGCCTAGAATTGGGCCTCAGTTCCGAGGGCAGCCATGAAGGCTGGGAAGTGCTAGTTCGCATGGCTTCCTCTCGGGTCCAAGCCCAAGGATGAGATGGCGAAATCCCACAATAGACAGAATCTGGCCAGACTGAAGCTCTGCCATTCCAACCTGCAAGATGCATCCTGAGAGATTCTCGGCTGCGACTATCCTAAGCTCTTCCTCCACCCCCTCCCCCATCCGCCCCTGGACCCAGCAGCCCCTTACTGTACTCTTCTCTCTAGAATGTTCTGCCCCCGCCCTCAGAAGCCGTGGTGCTCTAGCAGCGTCTCTCCCCCACCCCACCCCACTCCATAGGGAGCATCCCTTCCCTGGGGGTCTATCAGATAAGAGAGGGCAGAGCCCACAGCTGCCGATCCCAGGCTGTAAAAGAGACACCGTGGGACCTCCATACTATCAGACTTGCATGATTTGGTCAGATGTAGCCTTACAATAAAGTAGAATTAATTCGCCTAGTTGTGGTTCCTGTTTGATTTCTCTGAGCAGACTAACAATGCCTCCCTCTTCCAAGGCATTTGAAGAGGGCTAATGTACCCCCCCCCCCCCAGAGAGCCAGTTAGGCACCGAGAAAACGCTAAGCCTTCCAGTCAGTTTCGGTCCAACTGGTCTGATTCACTAGAGAGAAAGAAATGCTCAGGGAAGGTCAGGGCAGTTTTTCTGCTCTTTCTCTCTTTCCTGGTCTGTCAAAAGTTCTTAAAGTTTCTCAAAGCAGATCCTTTTTAAAAGCATGTCTACCCCCCTGCAATTTTCAGAAATACTTTTTTCAAATGTATCTCTCTAAAAGTGTGCTTGTGTCTTTTTATTTGTGTGGGTGAATGTATTTTTGATCAGAGAAGACCTTAGTGAACTCTGCTGTTATTTGTTATTGTGTGGGCAGAGTTCCTGATCCAACTCCATAGAAATCCATGGTATATTTCTATTTCCTCCCTATTATGGACTTTTAGACATTTGCCTTTTTTAAAAAAAAGTAGGAACTATGTTCTTCTTTTTAAAAGGTAGGAACCAAATTTTGCTATTTGATAACAATGGGATCTTCTCTTGATCAAGCTGAATTCCCAATGTCTTCAAAGGAACATAAATGTACTTTTCTTGGCATCCATCCAGGAAGGTTTGTGTCCTTTCTCCCTAACCCTAACTTTCTTCTTCAAACCTCACTAGAACTTCTCATTCAGCCCTCTGAGGTCAAACAATATGCAGAGGGTAATGGGCACAGCATCTCATCATCCATTTTGAAGCGGGAGGTGTGCTTTTTTGCTATTCCAGGTGGCTGGTGCCATTTTTGCAACCCTTCTCAAGTGAAAATCTGAGTACTTTAAAAAAAAATACCTTACATGTAGACTTTCTGGGGGGTGGTGTAGAAAAAAAATCTTTAGGCAAAGATAATACAATAGATTAATGGATGAGTATCTGAACTGCAAACACACACACACACACTGAATTCAGATTGATATTTTCATGCATTATATTTTTTTTGGTTGTAATGCAAACAAAGGATGAGGGTCTAGGTGGAAGGAGACCAATGAGAGGGCATGAAATTCATCAGATCCTGAAAAAAAATAGATATGAGAATTTTACAGAAGAGAGGGTGTTTGAAGTGGTGTATAGATACTTTGAAAACAGGAATAGTTTGCATTGATTTGTAATGATGGAAAGGCAGCAAATGGAGTGCAAACTAGATTTGGATAACTTTCCTCTTCTCGGATCAAAAAAGCCAAGATGGCAGTGTGATCAAAGCCACGCCTCACATTCAAAAAGGGGCGGTGCTTCAACTATGCAGTTGCGGCAGCCATCTTGACTTTTGGACACCTCCCCTCCCTCCAAAGACTTTTCTATCTTCTGCCTTTAATTTCCCTGGTTTGTTATTTCTTATACTAGGGGTGGGCAACTATGGCAACTTTACGATCTATGGACTTCAACTCCCAGAATTCCTGGCTCAGGAATTCTGGGAGTTGAAATCCACAGCTCGTATAAAGTTGCCATAGTTGCTGACCCCTGTCTTACACTGCTTATTTGCTTTATATCACCCTGATTACCTTGAAAGGGAACAGTATGATGGATATGTAGCTTTCTAAAATTAACTTGCAATTACTTTTGTGAAAGCAAAGACTGGAAAATACTTCACTGTCTTGATCAATAACAACAACAACAACAACAACAACAATAATAATAGTAAAGTTGGAAGGGACCTTGGAGGTCATCTAATATAAATAGTTCGCTCTTGATCACTATCGAAGCACCAGATTAATATTTCCCATGGAATCTTATCTCTGACTGTTTCCTTCATTTCATCCAAGTCTGGATGTTGAGCCTTTCTCTTGGAACAACGGAGCTGTTCTCTTTTGTAACGGAGGAGTGATGTCTGATCTGCATGTGATCTGATGAAGGAATTCTATCACTGCATCTGGATCCTTGTTCAGTGGGTTCATCCTTAACTCAGAAATTAAACCCAAATAAAGACCTCTTCCCAGGTCGAAGTTTCAGACTTAACTCTTTGTCCCCTTCTGTAAACTGGAGACCCTCCAGAAAGGGGGCCTGAGAGGTGAAAGATTGCAGTGCAGGGATGAGGGAACTGTCTGAGTGTTCCAGTCAGGCAGCTGGATTTTGGACCCAATCTATGAAATATTAGAAACATGGGTGTAGTCATATATGAAACCTCTAATTAAATCAACAAAAAATATATAGTTTGAGATGGATGCTGAAGTTATGGGCTTATGGTCTGAATATCAACCTTTCCGCCCTGCTAAGTAACCCCTTTG